CCTCAGCCTGCCTCAGCCTCAGCCTGCCTCGGCCGCAGCATCAGCCTGCCTCAGCCTCAGCCTCAGCCTGCCTCAGCCTCAGCCTGCCTCGGCCGCAGCATCAGCCTGCCTCAGCATTCAAAATGTGGCCCAAGAGTGGAGTTCTGGGAACTAGAAGAACACGAAGTGGCCTACAGTTGGCTCCGGGCATTCAAACTCATGCCCAGGAATGGAGTTCTGGGAACTTGAAGAGCACGAAGTGGCCTACAGTTGGCTCCGGGCATCCAAAATGTGGCCCGGGAATGGAGTTCTGGGAAATCGAAGAGCACGAAGTTGCCTACAGTTGGCTCCGGGCATCCAAAATGTGGCCCAGGAATGGAGTTCTGGGAACTCGAAGACCACGAAACGGCCTACAATTGGCTCCGGGCATCCAAAATGTGGCCCGGGAATGGAGTTCTGGGAGCACCAAGAGCGATTTTGCGAGGATGTCCCAAGCGATTTCGGCTTCGGCGGCAGCCTGTCCGGCTTCCGCCCAGACCCCCCTGAGGAGTCATGATGCTCTCTTTTGGGACCACTAGAAACCTATCAGCAAAAGCTGTTAGGTAAAAACAATTCTCCCGGCAAAGCAACCTAACAGCGATGTGTAGAAGCATATCTGAAAGCATTCCCCTTAAGATTCAAATGAAAATCCAGTTGTAGAATTCTGCTGTTCTCGCAGTCGTAGTCGCATTCGCGATGACAGTCGCAGCGGCAACGGCAGTCGCAGTCACAGCCTCAGCCTCAGCCTGCCTCAGCCTCAGCCTCAGCCTGCCTCAGCCTCAGCCTGCCTCAGCCTCAGCCTCAGCCTGCTTCAGCCTCAGCCTCAGTCTGCCTTCAGCCTCGGCCTCAGCCTCAGCCTGCCTCAGCCTCAGCCTGCATCAGCCTCAGCCTCAGCCTCAGCCTGCCTCAGCATCAGCCTGCTTCAGCCTCAGCCTCAGCCTGCCTCAGCCTCAGCCTCAGTCTGCTTCAGCCTCAGCCTCAGTCTGCCTTCAGCCTCGGCCTCAGCCTCAGCCTGCCTCAGCCTCAGCCTGCCTCGGCCGCAGCATCAGCCTGCCTCAGCATTCAAAATGTGGCCCAGGAATGGAGTTCTGGGAACTAGAAGAACACGAAGTGGCCTACAGTTGGCTCCGGGCATTCAAAATCATGCCCAGGAATGGAGTTCTGGGAACTTGAAGAGCACGAAGTGGCCTACAGTTGGCTCCGGGCATCCAAAATGTGGCCCGGGAATGGAGTTCTGGGAAATCGAAGAGCACGAAGTGGCCTACAGTTGGCTCCGGGCATCCAAAATGTGGCCCGGGAATGGAGTTCTGGGAAGTCGAAGAGCACGAAGTGGCCTACAGTTGGCTCCGGGCATCCAAAATGTGGCCCGGGAATGGAGTTCTGGGAGCACCAAGAGCGATTTTGCGAGGATGTCCGAAGCGATTTGGGCTTCGGCGGCAGCCGCGGCGGCAGCCGTTCCGGGTCCCGCCCCGACCCCCCTGTGGAGTCATCTGCTGCTCTCTTTTGAGACCACTAGAAACCTATCAGCAAGAGCTGTTAGGTAATACAGAATACACTTGGCGGCGGCGGCGGCTGCGGCGGCTGCGGCGGCGGCGCGGTGGCGGCGGCTGCGGCGGCGGCGGCGGCGGCGGCGGCGGGGGCGGCGGCGGCGGCGGCGCGGCGGCGGCGGCGGCGGCCGGCGGCGGTAGCGGTGGCGGCAGCGGCTGCGGCTGCGGTTTGGCAGCGGGGGCGGCGGCGGGGCGGCGGCGGCGGCGGCGGCCGGCTGAGGCGGCGGCGGCGGCGCTGCGGCGGCGCGGTAGCGGTGGCGGCAGCGGCTGCGGCGGCGGCCGGCGGTTTGGGAGCGGGGGGCGGCGGCGGCGGCGGCGGCGGCGGCGGCGGCGGACTGGCCCCCAGTAGCTGCCCATCCAAAGACGACTGCTGAATATGCTCAGGCTCGGGCCAGACTCGGGTGCTACGTATGTGTTGGGAGGGCGGGTGGGAGTGAGCGAGACGGCTTGCGGGCGGGGAGGGGGTAGATTGACCTGGGATGCGCAGAGACACACTAATACTATATGTCCTCCTCGGAGGCGCGCGTCCGACCCGAACATATAGTATACCAATCTTGTAGTATATCGTTTCCCGAGCGGTGCGGCCAGAAAACGCCCGCCACGACGCATATACTATAAGATTTCTCGGTGCGCGCGTCGCCCCTGGGGGGGCGACGCACATATAGTATAAGTATGTTGGGCTCACGCCGATGACTCCTCCCCCTCCCCCCTCCCCGTGGACCTGGAGGGGGGGGGGGCGCGAGGTGTCAGAGCGTCCAACACGGCCTCGGCGAGGAAGCCAAACACATTGATTTTGCTATGGTTGTGGCCGCATGTTGGCCTCCTGGGGGGGCGAGGCTAATCAATGATCCGCACTTCTTTGATAGATCTCCTCCAAGATGGCCCCAAGAAGCGCCCAGGAGGCCCCAAGAGGTCCCAAGATGGCCTTAAGAGGCCCCCAAGAGGCCCCCAGGAGGCCCCCAAGAGATCCCCAAGAGGCCCCAAGAGACACCCCAAGGCACCCAAGATGCTCCAAGATGCCTCGGCGAGAATGCCAAAACGGCCTCGGCGAGAAAGCAAACATTATTGGTTTTACTAAGGTTTTGGCCCCATGTTGGCCCCCTGGGGGGGGAGACGCTAAGTAATGCTCCCCTCTTGTTTGATCGATCTCCTCCAAGATGGCCCCAAGAAGCGCCAAGGAGGTCCCAAGAGGTCCCAGGATGGCCCCAAGATGGCCCCAAGAGGCCCCCAAGAGGCCCCCAGGAGGCCCCCCAAAGACCCCCAAGAAGCCCCAAGAGACCCCCCAGAGGCACACAAGATGCTCCAAGAGGCCTCGGCGAGAATGCCAAATCATTGATTTCACGAAGGTGTCAGCCACATGTTGGTCTCTTGGGGCGGAGCACTGATTAAGATGATTCCAAAAGTGCCTGGGAGAGCCCAAGATGATCTCCAAGATGGCTGAAGATATCCCAAGATGTCTCACAATGGCCTCCTCTGTGTGCTGCCCACTTCCCTGATCCAGGCAATTCCTCTGGGCATCGTTTCTGGATGGGCTGGTGGGGATTCGCGAGGCGTCAACAATGTCTTCCCCTGGACAGCCGTACGCACGGCCAGCACACCAGAGCGCCGCGCTCGCCACCGCGCCGCAGACCAGGTAGCCCGCGCGCAGCAGCCACTCCTCCGCGGCCGCGCCGCCGCCGCCCAGCAGCACGAGCGACTCGGCCGCGAGGCACGCCAGGAAGCCGACGAAGGTGACCCACTGGGCCATCACGGGCCAGGCAGCGCCAAGGGACGTCACCACTGAGGGCCAGGGCTGCAAGGCTTCTCGGTCTGCGCACGGGCAACCCGCCAAGGAACGACCAGGCTGGCCACCAAGGCCCCCCGAGAAAACCGTGGTGGTCTCATCACCCCGGCGCCGCCTCTGGCGGAGCCCTTGGGGCGCTCCGCGCCCCAAGGTTGGGGTGCTGAGACCGCCCCCGACTGCTCGTGGGGCCTGTCGAGGCCAGCCTGGGCTGCCTGCCTGGGGGGGCTGTCCGTGCGCAGCCCGAGGCCTTACTGGTCACCACCGAGGGCCCAAATTTGCGACGAGAGAGATGCTTTCTGTCAGTCCGGGACATTCTCTTCGATATCGGGCCGTGTTGGGTCCGCGCTGTCGGGGCCCAAGGCCATCAGACGTGGATCCGGGCCGGAAAGCTGACCCCAGGGAAGTGGCTGGGATTTCTGGAACCGCGCATCGAAACATCGACTCGTCGGATGGCTGGGGGGCTCGTCGCTTCCTCTACGAAGCGGGCACCCCCCTGGACCCCGTGGACTTCCCAAGACGCCCCGAGAGCGTCGAAAAGCCCTCTCCATCCTCGAGACCTCACTCCTCCCCGATCCTCGACTTCCAGGAGGAGGTGAGGACCCCCCCTATTCGGGTGCTGCTGGGGGTGTTCCTGGCCCCAGGTGACCGCGGCTTGTCACGCCATTTTAGGCCCTCTGAGGCCTCGTGGGGGGTGCGCTGGAAGCCACCTGCGCCTCCGTGGGAACGCTGGTGGACCGACCTTGTCGAGGGGCAGCGACAGGAGAGGACCGGCTCAGGTGGGGAAACATCGACCTGGAATCGGCGATGCCTCGTCGATCTCGGGCGGGTGGTGGTGGAGGGGTGACCTAAATGGGGGGTGAAGACAAGGGCCCTGAATGGGCCCTGTGGGGCCCCTTCTGGAGCCAGCAGGGGCAAAAGGGGCCCAAAAGGTCCCCCCCCCTTACCACCCGCCTGACGATCGACGGGCGATACGCCCCGGGTAGCGAATCCGCACGGTCCTGGGAGGGCTGGTGCATCAGGCCCCAATCGGCGATCAATGGGCGATTCTGGGTCGACGCAGGCCCCCTCAGCCTGTTCCCCCCGATCGTTGCCCCCTGCCGGGTCGTGACTCGACTCTCCGGTGGCCGTTCGGGCCGATCCTGGCCACCCCGGGACGCTCTCAGCGAGGCGCAGACGCTGGAAGGCATCCCGAGGGCGGTAAACCGCCGAGAGCTGACGAAAAGAGCCCAACACCTCAAGCCTCGAACGCCCGAAGCGTCCCCTTCCTGACCATTCCCCCCAAATGCAGGATAACCAAGAATCTAATTGATCAGTCGGATAATCTGCAGCCAAGTCGAGAGCAGTCGAATCGGCGGAGATCGGCAGGCCATTAGGGCCTCCGTTCAGAACTCGGAATCCTCGTCGGAATCCGAGGTCGAACAGACTCCACACCCGAATCATCGAGACCGAACCGCTGAAAGGGGCCCTGGGACACACAAATAAATACACACAAATAAAAGCATTCCCCATATTTTCTATTTTTTTCTAGGTTTTTGTCTTCTCCCCCACTTCCGATACCTTCCCATATTTTCTGGGGAATCGACGATTCAGTGTGTCTGTGTTGTTTTCCCTCCAGAACCGCATCGGATCGGAGTAGTCGGAGCGAACCCTGCTGCCTGCTGGTGGCCCCCTCGGCGCTGCCCGGGATGGAGGAGCCGAGCTGGCCCTGGCCCCAGTGCGGGCACAGGAGACCGCGGGCGAGCCTCGGGAGCGCGCCAACGCGGACTACAGCCAAAACGGACAGTAGGGATGCGTGGCAAGGACTAAAGGGTCCCAGGGACACACAAATAAATACACTCAACCCCCAGGACTCCCAACATTTTCCCATATGTTCTGGGTGTTCCCCCCCCACTTCCCACACGTTTCCCATATTTTCCCGGGAATCGACGATGAATCGAGTCTGTGTGTTTTGTTGCCCCTCCTGAAGGATGCACGCCCCTTGCACGCCCACGCCGAGGCTCTTTTTGAGCGGGGCTGGCCGTCGAGGGTGGTTCAGGATGGAGCGAGGAGGCGAGGATGAGAGGCCTCCTGGAGGGGCTCCGAGTAGATGGGGTCGAAGGATCGCGCCCCATCGCCAAAATATCGCCGATGCATCGGCGACGCATCGGCGATGCGTCGGCGAGGGATGCATCGGCGACGTCGGCGTGGAAGAAGTCGGACCCCTCATCGAGCCGCACTGCCCCATGCATCGGCGATGCGGCGCGATCCTCTTGGACCCCCATCTGGGAGGTCCAGAAGAATCCCTCGGGAAGGTTACCCATCCTTACCATCGGGTACCTTCGGGATGTATACTAACCTTCACCCATCGGGAAGGTTACCCATCGGTTCCCGATGGGCACCCCTCGGGAAGGTTAGCCGTCCTTGCCATCGGCTTCGGCTGTAGGGCTCTCTCCGTGGAGCCTGGCGCGAGGGCGCCAGACTCCGCGGAGCGGGGCACGCTCCCCTCGGTGGCAACTCATGGGAACCTCCCATAGAGGCCTCCTAGCTGGGGTCGGAGTAGATGGGGTCGAAGGATCGCGCTGCATCGCCGATGCATTGGCGCCGCCGACGTTGCGAAAGTCGAGCTCCGAATGGAGACGCATCGCCATTGCATCCGCGATGCGGCGCGTTCCTCCGACCCCATCTTCTCGGACCCCATCTGGGAGGCGCAGTTCCCCATGCCAACTTGCTGGCTCTTGCGAATCGACGCTCGTCCCCGCTCATCGACGCTAAATCGATGCTGATCGACGCTAGTCCGGCGACATCTCATCGATTACCGGACGCTAATCGACGCCAATGTACTCTTGAAGCTGCATTGCGAGGGTATACGAGGCTCCCGTGATTTGCTACTGCACCGGCTCAACTCAGCCCCGCCCCGCTGACTTCGGCCCGGGCCGAATTCAGCTTGGCCGAATGCAGCCTGGCCGATATCAGCCTGCCGAGCCCAGCGTGGCCGAGTTCCGCTGGCCGAGTTCAGCCTGGCCAAATGATTCCTGGACGAGTTAAGTTGCTGATGGCTCTCAGATTGGGGCATGTACCCCCCGAAACATGGCACCAGTGCCGCCTCATTTGGCGACGAACCCCGCCGATGTGGAAACGGGACCCGTCTCTGAATTCACACGTCGCTACAGTCATCGCGCTACACTGAGGGGATGCTGGATCGAAGCCCCCCTCTGGGCCCAGAAACGCCTGGGTGCACGAGCAGCGCTGGGGGAACGACCACTGATGGACCTCGGAAATAGCGAGCCCCTTCCGAAGCCGACCTGTTCCTAATCTCGGAGGAGGAGGAGGGCGGAGGAGGAGGAGGAGGGCGGAGGAGGAGGAGGAGGACTGTAAGCCATGCTTGCGCTTCCTTGAGAACCACGCGAGGCTGCGCGCGTGCCGCCAGGGGCACGACCGCTCCTCGAGCCCCCTCGTGCGGCTCCGGCCCCGGAGCTGGGCCCAGTGCAGCAGCTCGGGGGCATCTGGGGCGCCCGCGGTGCCCCCGGCGCCCTCCTCCTCCTCCTTGTGGGAGGGGCAACAGTGGAGGCCTCCCAGAGTGGGGTCCGAATACAGTCAACCCGTGCAGCAAGGATGCGCGATACGGATGTAAGGGCCTTAAGACGCCACTTTCGAAGCTGTTCGAGCGGGGCGCGGCCAACGAAAGTGGCCGAGGACGGACCGAGGAGGCAAGGATGCAAGGGTACCCTGGGGAAAATTGCCCATCCTTACTATGCGGGTTGACTGTAGGTGGGGTCGGAAGAGCGCGCCGCATCGGCGATGCATCGCCGCCGCCTGCGTGGCGAAAATCTGTCTGCACAGCGAGCCGCATCGCCGATGCATCGGAGATGCGGCGCGATCTCCCTGCCCCATCTACTCGGAACCCATCTGCGAGGCGTAAAACCAAGAAAGGCATGCACTCATCCTGCTCCCACAATGAACGCTGCATGAGGAGTAAAGGAGCGTTTCTGGCCACGGCGAGCCTCGGCCGCGAACATGTCCCCCGAACTAAATCTGACGAGCGGTCCGAAAACGGGAGCCCCGCCTGAGCGCACAACGTTTTTGAATCCAGCGTCTCGACTGTAAGCGAAAGCTTCCAGCTGCCAGACATCCGCGCATACTTCTTAAATCGGCGCCGGGCCCAACCCTACCCGTTGCCCCAGCGCGGGGTGCGCGCTGGCGAGGGAGCCCCGGCCATGATCTTAGATCGGCGTTGAACCCTCTTCCTGGCGGCGCGCACACAGGAGTAGTCGGCGGTGGACAAACCTCCCTTTAGTAAGCCCCCCCTTAGTGCAAATGGCCTGGAACCGAAAACGACGGGCCTGGACCCGCACAAATGACGGCCGCGACGCCGTCTCGCGAACCGAAAACGGCCAATTCCTGACCACCTCCGAAGTCGGGGGTGGTCAGGACTTGGCCACCGCCGAAATCGGGGGAGGGGTCTGTCCACCCCCGAAGTCGGGGGAGGAGGGCGGGCTTCTTAGAAGGAGGCTGCTTCTTAGAAGGCGCAGGCCTTACATCTGCAGACGAGGCCCGCGCCTTCCAAGAAGCAAAGGTTCTTCTAAAAATCCTCTGCGCGTGGCCGGCCCCTCCCCCTCCCCCTCTCCTCCTCCTCCTCCTCCTCCTCCTCCTCCTCCTCCTCCTCCTCCTCCTCCTCCTCCTCCTCCTCCTCCTCCTCCTCCTCCTCCTCCTCCTCCTCCTCCTCCTCCTCCTCCTCCTCCTCCTCCTCCTCCTCGCCTCCTCGTCCTCCTCGTCCTCCTCGTCCTCCTCGTCCTCCTCGTCCTCCTCGTCCTCCTCGTCCTCCTCGTCCTCCTCGTCCTCCTCCTCGTCCTCCTCCTCGTCCTCCTCCTCCTCCTCCTCCTCCCCTCCTCCTCCTCCTCCTCCCCCTCCTCCTCCCCTCCCCCCCCCCTCCTCCTCCTCCTCCTCCTCCTCCTCGTCCTCCTCCTCCTCCTCCTCCTCCTCCTCCTCCTCGTCCTCCTCCTTCTTTTTCTTTCGTCCAAGCTCTGGGAACTTACAGTTTCAGCTTTTCGTGATCTACTGGGTGAGAATGGATTGGGCTGCTCTGGAGGCTTCGTCCAAGGCAATGGCCTCAGCACGGAAGACTGTGCACGGTAGCTCCAAGAAAGTACCATGAACCATCAACGGTTCATAAATGCACTGCCCGTCGATCCGGCCCCGAAGTCCGATAATCCACGCAGCAGCTGCGCAATCGCCATCACGAAATCCACCATCCGTTTGGATAATCACGTTGGCGCTCTGGATGGACATCGTGGTGGTGAAACTCTTCTGCCATGTTTTCCGGGCGTCCATTGTGTAGTTCGCCAGGCCGTCTGCCACTTTGTTATGGCATCTTTTCCGCCATTGTACTGGTTTTTGATGAATGTGTGGCGGCCTCCAACCATTGCCCATGTGATCAACAATCCTGCTCAGCACTCGGGATACGAGAGGTTCGTACGCTAGGTCATGCAGTCTGTCGATGCCACACACCACTTTTTGCAATGATTGCAAATCCGTTGCGTATAATGTTTATGCGGAATTGCCCATGCAATATTCATACCGGCCGAATCAAACAATTAATCTGCTTCCGGCTACACTCCTCGGAACACGAGCTTCTCCTCCGTCTCCTGGTCCACCCGGGGACGTTTCGGAACAGGTTCGACGACGTCAGGCCCGTCGCAAAGCGGCAAATGCCAGCGGGCGCATGCATCCTCCTCCTCCTCCTCCTCCTCCCCTCCTCCTCCTCCTCCTCCCCCCTCCTCCTCCTCCTCCTCCTCCTCCTCCTCCTCCTCCTCCTCTCCCTCCTCCTCCTCCTCTCCTCCTCCTCCTCCTCCTCCTCCTCCTCCTCCTCCTCTCCTCCTCCTCCTCCTCCTCCTCCTCCCCCTCCTCCCCCTGCCAGCCGCCTCCTCCTCCCCCCTCTGCACGTGGCCGACCCTCCCTGGCGCGGGACGTGCGCCAAGATCCGAAGCGCGTCATCGGCGTGCTCCTGGCGTGCGAAGTTCTCCCCTCCCCACCGAATCCCCCTCCCCTTTCTCCTCTTTCTGTCCTCCTCCTCCTGCTCCTCCGCCGATTCGCATCACGTGACGGATCCAACTCGCCGACAGCGGGCAAACATCGGTGGCGTGGACAGGCTCACCGATCGTGCGGACCAGCTGCAAGGATTCCGAACTCGGGTTCTGGAGCTGCGGGGGCGAGCCCGATTCGGCACACGCGGAGGGCACAGACAGTAGAAGGAGGCTGATGTGTGCAGCACCGCACGGGGCAAACATTCACACTGCTCGCGTACTGGTCTGCGCCCGCACAGTTGGGCAAGGGACGCGCCCAGGCTGGCTCGAGATTGCATGCCGCGGCCATGCTGCCGAAGGGAAGGAGCGACAGACCACGGCGACGACAAGGAGGGCGTGGCCCCGGGACCCGAGGCAGGCGAGGAACGAGGAAGGAGGGAGAGGCAACAAGCCGGGTGGCGCAGCACCGCATAGTGAAGTCGTCGTCGGATGGCATCGATGAGAACGAGTTATCTAAGAGATGGGCATAGAGTTTTCCAAGGAACACCTCTGGAACATGCGATGCAAGTGCACGGACCCCCGCCAACCGGCGGAACTCCAAGCCAAAGGCTACAGAAACGGGGCCCCATACACGCGGTCAGATCCAAGAGACCTCGAGGGGAGAGGGGAGTATAAATACGACCACAACGGGACTACGTTCAGTGGATCTGACGGTGGCCTCGACCACCCTCCTCCGTCAGTTCCCCTCCCGCTTTCTCCGGCCTGATCCCCGACCCAGTAGCCGCCCCCCGACTGCTTGAGAGCCTGGCGGGAGGACGCGCGGGACCGACACTTGAGATCATTGTTCAAAGCCCTCTCGCTCATATGTCCTTCTTCATCGACAAGAACGATCGCGCCCCTTCCTAGCAGGTCTGGGAGAGCCACATTGCCTCTGGACGGGTCGGCCTCCGTGAAACAATCGGCGGCCGTGCGGCCGTGGGGGGCCCAGCGGATCTGTGATCCGATGGGTGAAAGACTGTCCCTCACAACAGCCAGTTCTATGGCCGTCCTGCGATCTTGACGAGAACCTGCGCTGTTTTTGAAAAAATATCGAACATCGATTAGCATCGACGACTGACAGCGAACTCACCTCATCCGACAACGCACAGTCTCGACTGATCACAACAGAAAAGGGCGCCTGCGAGAGGTGCCAGTCCAGCTTGGCAACGTCGTTGAACAGAAGATCGCGCCACATGATGGCGAGCCACTGGCCCTCTGCCAGCGCAGCACTGAAACTCGAAATCTCAGCGGCCCCAGTAGACGCAACCACGCGTTTCAACCTGGTGGACCCCCAGGCTAAAAGGGATGGTGCGATGCTGTCTAATCTCCTCGGCCGTGAGAAGATCGCCAGGCGCGGCGCGACGCTCCGTAGCAAGGCGCACGGGGGTCAACTGCTCAACTATATATATTTCTCGTGATCAACGAAAATACGGGACCCAAGCTGTCGGGCATGTCTCCCTGCGCAATCCGACTCCCCAGACTTCCACTTCCCGAACTTGAATCGGCTCTGAATTCGCTCGCTAAGCCCAGCGCGCTCCCCAGGATGGCCGGAGGTGATAAGATCATCGACCTCAATGAGCACGACGGCGCGCCCCCCCCCCTGACTCGACCGTTTCACCTGGAGGCAAGGCTCGAGAAGTGATTTCTCGAATCCGTCCTCTGAGAGCCAGTGTCAAGGTACGGTGCCAAAGTAGCGGCGCATCATTTAATCCGTAGACTGGGGCAACGAGCTCTATAAGCTCTCCGGGAGCCAACTTCAAACCCTGACATGGTTCGCAGCAAATCTGTCCACGCGGACGAAACAAGCGATTTGACTGGCCAAGCGCAATTTTACAGCCCGCCACTTCTAATTCCCAGCCAAGAACACACAGCTTGAAGGGTCAACTTGATGCTTTCCCCCTGCGGGGTGGGGGCGTAAACTTGATGCTGATCGCTGTCTGGATCATGTTGTTCCTGGACGCACCACTTGGATTTAGCAATCGCCTCTGACCCCGGACCCTCTTGTGGCTTAAAACGCCGGGCCATGCGAGATCCGAGCGCGCGATCGGGAAAACGCCCGCGCACCCGCGCAACCTCTGGGGCGGGGGCGACCCGCGCAGCTCCAGAATCTGATAAGATAGCTTGCCACTCCTTCGCGTCCGAAAACACAAAGAACTGTCTCTCTGCCTCAGAGAGCTGCTTGCGCGAAACCTCGGCCCCTCTACGACAGGGAGGAACCCCGTCCCCCGTGGCGCCCCCAGTCTCCGCAAAGGTTTCGCCCCCCACCCCCCCAACCCAATGAGGCGGCTCCCAGCCGTGCCAGCTGCGCAACTCAGTCCACAGCTCTTCCCCCCCTTCCTCGTCGAATTCTGACTGCAAGTCCTCGCCGCCGTCTTGAACCCAGGACCCCAGGATTCTACTGCCAGGAGAGACCCCCTCAAGACCCGCGCGCCCTATCGCCCGTTCGGCGACGTCTGAGGCCTGCGCGCCGTCGTGATTCAAAAT